TATATATATAAATATAAAACTTTGCAATCCTAAATGAAAGAATGAGCATAGGTAATAACTGTCAATAGCTATTAAAACCGTGAAGAAGTGAAAAAAATCAAACTAATATTAATCATATTAGTAGTGTACATTACTATTCTGAAACATACATGCATAATTATATATATATATACTATTATGAATAATATGAGTATCTTTATAGTTAATGAATCAGAAGGACAGTACCTGATCTCACTGAGAATATCACAAAAAGGTAGAAAATCAGACAAGAGGAAGATTATGTGGTAAAACAGGAAATGAACACTACCACCATCCAGAAGCACTCCTGCCATTTCTAAAGAAATGAGAAGGGATCCCAAGCCAGTCAATTCTCTAGGTCTTCATTAGTACACAGGGAATACAGTGGAGCATATTAAATAACACAATAAAGATGAAAATGACAAAAATCTGTACTTTGGAAAATTCTCCTAGACAAACTATTTTCTAAATAAACTGCAAAATAAGAGATTTTATAGGTTTAGGGCCCTCCCTGGTGTACCCTAAAGGTTAAAGCTTTATAATAGCTTATAAAGCTATTCACAGAATTGAGCATGAGTTCAATTTCCCACCAGGGAGCTGACCCACATGGCACAGCAGACCTCTCCTGACTCGCCTGCTGCTCCCATCAGCAGTATGTTTCAGTGGATCTGCCTGTTCTGCTTCACACTCTGTCTCTGCTGGATCCTCTCACCCTTTGCACCTCTGGCCTGTACCCCAGTTCTGGTATACATTAAAAAAAATTAATCTTTAAAAAAAGAGATACTTAAGAGATAAAATTAAGTACAATGTGTGAACCTTATTTGAATTCCCATTTGACTAAACCAACTGTAAAAACAAATATGAGACAATCCCTGGAACATTAGCACTGAATACTGATAATACTATAAATTAATGTCAGTTTGGGTGGTAATAATGGTATTATGGCAATGTAAATATACATCCTGAAGTATTTACAGGTGAAATAAAAATACAAGGATTTGCTTCAAAATAATTGAGGGGGAGAGGGCAATCATGGGGAGTTTAGTCATCTAACTACCCAGTTCTGATCACACAAGATTAGAGCCCTTTCTCCCATACTAGCAGCTAACATTTATTGACTATTTACTAAATATCAGAATGCTGTGCACTTACAGTTGAGAAGAGCTTTGGGTAGGCAGGACTAAAACCTATGTCTATCAGACCCAGACTCTAAGGCTTTTTGTTTTTAAAAGATTCATTTTACTTATGCATACAAGAACCAGGGCCAGAGGTGGGAGGAAGGGGGCGATGACAGCAGTGAGAGGATTCACTAGAGACAGAGTGGGGAGCAGAACAGGCAGATCTACTGAAATAGACTGCTGAGGGGAGCTGGGGGTAAGACGGGTGAGGTCTGCTGTGCCATATAGGTCAGCTCCCTGGCCAGCAATCAAACTAATGCCGCAATGGCTGGTGACAGCTTGAGAGCACTGAGACTTTAATCCTGTGCCATCAGGGAGCCCCCAGAGTCCAAGCTTTTAACCACTATAACATATTTCTATCACAAGAATTGCTTTGCTATTCCACTGTGAAACCACCAGGGCAAAAATGTTTCTCCTTATGCTGAATTTAAATCCATCAACCCTGGGAATGCAAACTGATCCAACCACTAGGAAAAGCTAGTGGGGGTTACTCAAACAGCTAAAAATGGAGCTTTCATATGACCCAGCAATTTCACTCCTAGTTATCTACCCAAAGGAAACAAAAATATTAATTCAAAAGGACACCTGCATCCCCATGTTTATGGCTGCTCTATTTACAACAGGGAAGATGTGGAAGATGACTGGATCAAGAAGATGTGGTAGATATATACAATGGAATATCACTCAGTGATCAAAAAAGATAAACTCATGCCTTTTGCAGCAACATGGGTGGAGCTGGGAAGGATCATGCTTAGTGAAATAAGCCAGAAAGAAAAAGAAAAATACTATATGGTTTCACTCATAGCAGGAGCATAAGGGATCATGGGGGGGG